AATAAAAATGAGGGTAGTAAATGTCATTTCTTAAAAGATAGAACAAACATGATCCACCATCAAGATAGTGACTCTGACATTTAATTATAAGCAAGGTAGTTCCTGTTCAATTTCAAAAATTCAAGTGATTCTATAATTCAGATTAGTGCAGCTTTGCACTGACATGCATAGATTTGAGGGAATCTTCTAGCACAATGTAACCGTTTTTATTGGAAGGCTTGGTTTTCTGGGATACACGCAATTTTCATCTGCATAATACTATAATATAGCCCATAAACCTATTTGGAAGTTTCATTGTTACTAGCTCCATCATTGAAAGTACCCCACCGTAATAATTTTACTATATAGATAAAATGGCTACTAGCTACTGTTGGTGTCATATACCTTAATGATGACACATGGTTCTTTTAGTTGACCATATAATTGTGTTGGTTCCACCTTCAGCATGCGAAAAGGATACAAAACCATCTCCCATTATCTGTTGGAAATTTTGTGGTGTTAGTGAACTTTTCCTGCTCGATGATAGTGGATCTTTAGGATTTGTTAAAGAGAAAAGACAAGAAAGGATCCAAATCCACCTCCTAAAGCTTTTCACATCACAAGAACCAACGATGGAAGAGAAACACATACCAAATGAGATTCTAATTAAGATATTTATATACAGCAAATATCTTTTCCTTTTCACTTTTTCCACTTATATAGTTATCTTTAAAACGGTATGAGAATTAAGAAGACCAGAATAGCAGAATTATTAGGCAAACGAATTTACATGGCTTAAATTTCCAAAAAAAAAAAAAATTATATTCAAATTATTCTTAACTTCAAGCCTTTCTTAGTTTAAGATAAAGATTTTGTATAATTGTTTTTTATCTGTATATTTAAAATATAAGTTCGTTGGAGTTGTACAGTTGAATGAAATTCAAGTTTTAGAATATAAAACTTGCTTAAAATATTGATATTATATATATATATATTTTTTTTTACAGCATGTTGATATTATACTTAAGAAGCTAGCGAATTGTAGTTTTGTAATTATAAAATTGCGAGCGTTGCATTTGGTGTATCGTTGATACTTGATAACAACGTGAACTTGACTTGAGTGGTTACAAAGAAAAATAAAGAAATTTAATGAAAGACTGAGTTTCCAAAGTCGTGGATTTGGTGTTTGGATGCTAGTCCTTAATCTTGACAAGGGTGGTTAGAGTTTCCAAAGTCTTAGACTTGGGTCAACAGATTTTCTTTCATCGTATTAGTAGAGTATTAATAAAATAAAATTAATTTGCCTAAATTTTCACGTCGCCAAAAAATTATTAGTAAAACAAATGACCAATAACTATAGATATTTTCATCAAATATATATTTCTTTTTCATTTAAGAAACCAGAGGTTGATTTACATTCAAAATTGATAATTCGCTTTCCTTGATACCAATGTTGATCTAAATAGTTTGCTTAATTATAAATTAGAACATGAATTTTGCCTGAATTTTCTTTTGTCCAACTGCTTGAGTACGAAGGATCCACGTGTCAGCTTGCACTATAACTCATTGAAGTCGATTTAGAATTTTTTAAGCAAATAAAAGTGCTAGTTATATGAAAATAAAAATAAAAAAATTGAATATTAATTTTTTATAATATATATTTTTATATTAATTTTTCAAAACATTTTTTATATTAATTTTTGAGCTACCACTTATTACACTCTCGTTTTTTAAGAGATGCAATTATATACAATATACAATTTAACATTATTAATGTATATTATATTATGTTTTTGAGAGATGTAATTATCCAATATTACACTACTCTCATTTATGTTAAAAAATAAAATATATTACACATTTATTTTTTAATATTGAATATATAATTTATTTTATTTAACTTTATAATACATTTTAAATATTCATTAAAATAATATATAATTGTGCCGATTATTAGCAAAATTGGGTCTAGTTGTTAGACTTGGATGCCCCAAGCTGAGTTGCACCATGCAATCCTTGCGGATGTTATGCTAATTTATATATACTTAAATATACTTTTTTATTTATTATATACTTTTTTAACTAGGATAGTTATTCTATTTTGTATAATAAATATTATTAAATTTTTGAGTAAATATTACCAATACTTTTGCAATATGTTATCAAATGTAAGATAAAGTTATGTTAATAAAGATTTTTAGTAACATGTTTTACATGTTAATGACAACATTTTAAAAATTTTACCAAAATGATTTTTTTTAACATTCTAATAGTGTTGCTAAGTTTTTGAAAATTTTATAAAATAAAAATTAATTTTAACGTAGATAATGTTGTCACTTATACTTTATAGCTATTGTCTACAAGTCTTTAAGGTTAAAGACATCTTAAGTTAGTCATTATCAAATCTAAATAAAATATTAAAGTTCATTTATTTTAAGTTTTACTCTTTGATTATATATATATTCTTTATGTATCATTCTTTTACTTGACTCTTTATGTGTTAATTCTTTTACTTGATGTGACACTTTAATTTTGAAAAAAAATTGGAGATTGGAGAATATACTCTTTATGTGTTAGTTTTTTTACTCTATGTGAAACTTTAATTTTGAAAAACAATTATAAGAACAATATGAGATTAAAAAAAATGTTACTCTATCTATACTAATATTTTCTAACATTTTTTGAGAAAAAAAATGTTACAACAACCTATTAACTTAATTTGTAGCATAATTTTAATAAATGTAAATAAGCACAGTTGCTAAAGAAGTTAAATATAATAGTTAAAAAAAAAAGTACTTGTTATTCATTCTCTAAATTTGAAATTATGTTTTGAGTCCTTAGTAATCTTTTTTAACAACTTATTTAGTTATTAGACAATTAAGTGACCATTCTAGATAGTAGTAATAGGCCCACAACTATCTATAATACTTTAGCATATGACTCCTCTAATTTTTTTTATAATTATTAAAATAAATATTATTTATATACTTTAAAATCTTCAATAAGGATTATAAAATAGTGATTTTAAATTTTATAGAAATGAAAATTAAAGAAAAGTATTTTATAGGGACCAAAACTAATTTTTTCTCATTTCACAGGAAGCAAAAATAATACTTGCAAATTTTATAAAGATGAAAAACAAAGAATAATTTTTGCAAGGAGGGATCCACTTACTCCTAACAAGACTTACTCTACTTAGTAACTCATGTTCTAGATAAATTTTTAACTATTCAACTATTGAATTAAAAGTTTTTGATATATAAATTAAGCCTACAAATTTAAAAAGTAAAATTGAATATAATATGATACTTTATTATATAAATTCAAATCAATGTATAGAATATTTTAATGTTATCTATCAATTTGGATTAATGAAATGAAATAACAAATAGTTTCAATTTTTTAAAAATTCTATAGATTTGATCTATGAATTAAGAATTTTTAATTTAACAATTGGATTGTTGAAATTTAATATAACACATGAGTTATTGTGTAGAGTAAATTTATCAAGGCTTATTCTTGGAGTAAGTGGATTCATCATCTCTTCGCCCCCCTTCCTCCCCCCCTCCCCGCACTCTCTCTATGAATATATGTATATATATGCACACTCACGCTCAAAGGGGTAAAGGAAATTCACTTACTTAGGTTATAATAAATGACTTAAATTTATAGAGTACAAACAAGATTATTATGTAACACAATCATTGTAATTATTTTTATTATTATTCTCATTATCATTGTCAACACAATCACCACCACTACTGTTATCACGGTATCACCATCACTAGCATCGTTATCATTATTGTCATTGTCATCACCACTATTGTTGCTACCATCTCCAATGATGGTGATAATGACAACAATGATGGGAGCGATGGTAATGGTTGTGGTAGTGACGGTAGTGTTGACAACATGATGATGCTAGTGGTAATGGTTGCAATGGTGATAGTGATATGAATAATAATAGAGATAACTATGATAATGACTATAAATGATAATTTTATTTATATTATTTAAATTTAAGTCATCTATTTTAATCTAAGTGTTAAGATTAAATATTTTCATTCTCATCTAAAAAAGTCAATTTTATATAATAAACTACCATCTATGAGCATTCTTATAGCTTGATTATATATACACACTAATCTATTAAATTTTTTTTGTAAAGCATTGCAAAAATAATAAACAATAAATTAAATAATTAACTCAAATGAAAATTATTAAGTTTAAATTTAAAATTTCATTAATTTTTAAAATAAAATATTTTAAAATTAATATCATTAGATATTTTAGTATTTATTAAAAATGTTTTGAATTAATTATCTAATAATTTTATAACTAATCGATGTATAAACCAAATCAATTAAAAAAAAATCAAATCAATCATAAAAAATCAAAATACACGATTTTATTACTTGTTTAAAATTAACTAATTGAATGCAACAAAATTAAATAAAGTTATGGTATATACGAAGATAATAAAAGTTGTAGGATTAACGAATATTAACTGTTTAAATTTGGTGCAAGTCTTTTGACTTACTTATCAATGATGTCAACAGATCTCATTTATTATAAAAATATAATTATTATTCTCTCTAATTTGTAAGAAAAAAATAATTCATAATAACTAAAAAAATTAATATCAATTAATTGTACTAATTCCAAATAACCTAATTACCTAAATTACCTTTTCTTAGAATTTGACATTAAAAATAAAATGAATTTTTGAAAGTAGAATTTTAACTGAATGAAAGAATATTTTGGATATGATAATATTAAATAGAATAAAATTGTTTGAGTTATATTTTAATTTTTTTTTATATTAAGTGATAGTATTTTCCTTATTATGATCTTGCTAACCTGATGAAGAAATAAAATGATGTAGAAAATCTTTATTAAAAATTGTAATAAAAAATGATACGAAAAAATATGCAGATATATATTTTTTTTAATAAAAGATTGGTAGTTTAGATTTTTTATAATTAAAATTATTTCCTATGTGACACTCCTTTATCAATGCAATCTCGTGGGAGTTTTTCTGTGCTCACAAAGCACCTTTGTTTGTGTTGTTGTTGGCAGGGTCACTGTCTCTGCCTTCTTCCCACCGCACCAGTACACTTCGTCTCATCATTCACACCCTTTCCTTTCTCTCTCCATTCCCAGTAATTCAAGGATGCAACTTTCCTCAACCCGTTCCATAACCTCAAACTTTCACAACTTTGCATTAATGGGGTTCAAGGGAATGCCCACCTAATCCAGTTTCTCAATTCTTTAACCCCAACTCCCTTTTTTTTTTTTTTTATATATATATATATGTGGAGTACTTTTATTCTGCTACACAAACTCCAACGCTCCAAATTTTGAGGCATTTCATGTTTTCTGTCTCTACCTCTGAGAAAACGTTATTTTTGTTGTGCTGTTTCTTTGTTTTGCTCTTGTGGGTCGAAAAAAAATGTCCACTTTGCAGATGTCCCATGTTGATTTGGAGCAAGGGAACCATCGCCGTTCGGTTGTGGGAAGTGATGTGAGTGGTGAAGGGAGTCTATGCTTCTCTGATGCTGATGATGGTTCATGCTATTCCCGTTTCTACTCAACAAATGGAGGTTCATACGATGATTACAGCTTTGCTTGTGTTTCTGATCCTGAGCTTGGCCCTGTTCCCCATTCTGGGAGGGCTTCTTCTCTTTCTGATTGTTCTGTGGAGGTGGAAACTAGAACTGGGGTTCCTGAAATCAAGGTGCATTTGGCCAAAGTTGAGAGGGATTGCAGGATTTGTCACATGGGTTTGGAGAGTGATAGTCATGAATGTGGTGCACCCATTGAATTGGGATGTTCCTGTAAGGATGATTTGGCTGCTGCTCACAAGCACTGTGCTGAGGCCTGGTTCAAGATTAAGGGAAATAGGTGAATGCGAAACTCAACCCCTTCTCTTTCCCCCCTAGTCTACTTTATGTGCTTGTTAGATTTGATTTTTATGCTAATTCTTGGATTTTTTGGAAAAATTTAGTCACCCTTTTGTTGATTCATGGCATGGGGAATTGAAAGTTTGGAATTTCCCAACTTGTTATGTCTTGGTTCTAACTGAAAGTTTGCAATTGCTTACATATTTAAGGGTTTTGATGTTGATGATTGGAGAGTAGGAAAGTAATTGAAGTATATAACCTGAAATTTGAGTTGTGGATTGTTTAATTGAGTGAAGAATGTAAAGCTGAGAAAGATGGTGGGGGAAGTATTTGGAAGCATATAATAGAAGGTGTGAATAACAAAATTGCAGGGAGGGAGGTTCAATTATTTCTTCAAGAAAAGGGAAAGTTATAGAAGATTAAATTATTTAAAGAAGATGGTGGAAAAAGAAAGGCGTAAAGCATCAGCCAGTCCCACTGATTCGCTGGCTTGACTACCTAAGCACAGTGGGATTCTTTGTTGCTTTGTCCCTTTACTGAAATTTAGGAATCTATATATAACTCTTATTTCTTATGCTTTTTATCTCTTTCAAAGTGGAGATTTGACCCCTTCTGACTTCTATTCATGGATTCAAATATCTTGGTAGATGCTAGTTGCTTACTGATGTGCCATTTAGAATATTTTAATCTACAAATTGCTGGTCCCAGATAATCTGTTCATGTGTGATGTATGATGATAACTTTTAGATTGCATAATAGTTGTGTTATGACTTGTCAGTACCACAAGCTACTGAATGTTGGTACAAATGTCCAGATCCCTTGTTGCAGTTGTTTGAGGTAAAATAATTCCATACTTCATGTACTGGTTCAGCAGTGTCAGTTGCACTTTGCAGATAATGTAACAGTTCAAAACCTTTATTCAGTGACAGGGTGCTAGTCTTTAATTTTAATTAAAAATGCTAAATTCTTAATCAAAGTAGGGAAATAAGTTAATTATTTGTGCTTTTATGATAACATGATAGGGCATACTTTATTGATGGACTAGTGACCGTCCATGCTTCATTATCAATTTAAAAGCAAATTATAGGGGCCGTTTATTGAGGAAGGATCTATTGTTATGTCTGATTCAGACGCAAATCCATCCAAGTGCATTTTTTTTTTTCATGGCCAAATTAAAATCCAATAATGCAAAAGAATTTGAATCTTTTCAATTTTGGAATCTTCTTTAATGGATGTGTTGATGATGCCTTGATTGGTGGCAAATATTTCATGATATCATCTTTTCCTTTGTTTTGAGACTTTAAAAATCGTGACATGGTTTGTCAAAGACAGTTGTGGAGTTATAAAAGACAATTGGACACCTGTATATAGAGATTTAGGTTAGGCTAACTAGAGCTGAAAGCTATAAAATAATGAATTGTTCTGATTGGTTAACCCTTCTGCCATGACAACTTGATGAGCATCTTTCTTAAATTTAAGTTAAATTCATTTATTGTAAGAGTGAGAGAATAACATCTCTACCCTTTAAAAATGCTTATAATGTATGAGCAGAAAGAAAATTTTCAGGATTTTGTTATATGTTGTTTTCAGTTTGTGCTTGTTAACAGTATAACTTGTATCGGCGAGGCTTTGCTTGTTTGTTTGAAGCATCCAGTTTGAAGTGGATAATAATATAATTTTACTCTTGATGTCTGAACATCGATCTGTTTGGATAAACTTTTCCTCGAATACTTTTAGGAGAGAAAAATAAAATAAATTAAAATAATTTTTTCTATATAAGTTAAAATTAGCTTATGTATAAATTAAAAAATGTTTTTTTTGAAGAAGCTAATATGTAAAAGCTTCTACAAATTAGTTTATGCATAGACTAATTTTAGTTTATGAAGAAACTTATTTCATTTTTCATTCCTAATTTTTCCAAGTAGTTTTTAAAGAACACATGTCCTACGTATAGGATTTCAAATGTACATTGGTTGGAGCATGAGCAATAAGTGCTAGCATGCTTTCTTGGAGTTGTCTTAAACTATACCACAATGATAGTAGCAATTTACCTGAACAGATTTCTCTTCAATTTTAAAATGTTTCCTAAAATTTTAACAGGACCTGTGAAATTTGTCATTCTGTTGCTCGGAATGTTTATGGAGCAAACGATGAATCGACAGAGCATGCGAGTGATGGCAACAACGGCACTACAACAGCCACACTCTCAACACCTGTTCCTTCAGCAGAACCACGACGATTTTGGCACGGCCATCGCTTCCTGAATTTCCTGCTTGCTTGTATGGTTTTTGCATTTGTCATATCATGGCTTTTTCACTTCAATGTGCCATCATCCTAGTTTCCTGAGGCTGTTTGCTTCATTTATAATTTAAAGTCTGAGTAGGGAGCAAACAAGAGGAAGATGAAAAGAAAAAACAGAGGAAAAGAGATGAAAAAAAGAAATTCCACTCTAGAATCCATGGAGAATGAATTCTACAATTTCAGGCCTCATTGGGTTTATATAGGTAGCTGTATAACTTCCTTTCGTCCATGCAAATATACATTTCTCCATTTTCTGTTGTGCATTCGTCCTAAATTATTGAGCTTTGCAAGGCTCTCTTATTCTGTCTTTCAGAGTCAATGTAATTTCTGGACAAGTACTAGAATGTTTATTCAAATGTACATTATATATTATATACTATATCGTATTGCTACTTCATTGTCTTTTTGTGCAGGGTGATTTCTCGTTAGTTTATTTGTAACTTATAGTAGTGAAAAACTGTTTTCTGGGTGTTGCTATTTGATTTGTTAACTTAGGATACTACATCTAAGCTTATTAGATCGAATAGTTCATTGATTCACATGTAAAATATAAAGTCCCTAATAGACCTGAAAAAGAAAATTACACTGCCCCAAGTCATTGTTTGAATATTGTATGTTTCCTCAATGGCACAGCTTTTGCCGTGTAAAAAACATTGTCTATCATTCTTATGAAGTGACATTTATCCAAATGATGGTTTTGAAGTGCGGTTGTATGTGAGATTATTATGTGTTTGTATTAAATAAAAAGAATAATTTTATAATAATGAAATTCAATTGAATGTGTTTTACGATTTTTCACTCTACACTCCTTTCCTCTTTTCATAAATGCATCATGCAACCTCTCAATATTCCAGCTAATTTTCATAAGTTTCCTCCTATCCTTTTCTAAAATTTTAGGTGATTAATAACACTTATTAGAATAAAAGATTAAAGTTTAAACCTATGTTTATTCTGGACTGTAATTTGTAACTATGACACAAACATAAATTTTTATGAAAATCGATGATTAAAAAGAATTGTTTGGTAGGTGGCATATATTCTTTTTTTTTTGCTTCAAAAAAATAAAAGTGATCCATTTTTGTAATTCTTAGACATGAATTCTTGCAAGGTTGTAAAATAATTCGATACTTCTTTAAACAGACGGTGTATGTGCATCACACAAAATATCTTGCGTCTATTCTGATAAGTGGAAATAGTCTTACGTAGATGTGCTTGCCACGTACATTCCATTCAACATTCAACACGTGTTAAGGTGGTATCGACCATGTTAAAAATGTATTTATTTATAAAGAATATCTTAATTATATCCCCTATTCATTGAAGTGCTTATGTAATAAATACCCACATAAAAGTTTTCCTAATAAAACAAAAGGAGCAATGGTTCACTTGAGTGACACTACCCTTGACAGAACAACTCCTTTCTATCCCCAGGCATCCTAACGAGGTGTCCCATCTAGTGCTATAGTCTTTTTTGGACCCCAATAAGGCCTAATAGTATTAACATTGGACCACTTGTTTTTTCATTGTTTTTTGGTCGATATATATGAGGCTCGTTCTTCCCCCAAGAAGGTTGAAACTGAGGTGAGGAGGGTTCCCATGAATTAAGGTAATATGAGTGTGATCTAGAACATTCTTAAAACCAGCAACAAAGTTGGGAATTCAACAAGCCCTTATGAGAAGCATTCAACTAGACATATATTTTTCATTTTTCAAAGACTTTGATTCATAATGCATTCACATGATGGAAATACAACAGGTCAGGTGAGATTCATTTGTCATACTTAAGTCTGAGTTACATCAAAATTATTAAGTCTAAATTTGACCTCTATCTATTATAGGTATGATCTTATCTGAAAGTTTGTTTAAAAAGTATATTTTATACAAATAGGCCCGTAGTCCTAAATAAGTTAAATTAATAGGTCTAGGTATTAAATATATTGATAATAATATATAATAAATATTATTATTGATTATAAATTAATTTATAAATTAATATTATTTAACTTAATATTTGGCCTACTAAACTTTTTTTAAAGGTATGAAGTCTATCCTTTTTTAAGTAAATAGGTTATGCCGTAAGGTCTAATAAAATGTTTGATCTATTTTTACCCCTATATATAAATTAATTGATAAAAATTATCTCAATTTAATTAATTGTTTTGAGTTGAAATTATGAATACATAATTGTATAAAATTTTGGAAGAAATTTTTTATAATTTATACATGTAAATATAAAAAATAAAATAAAATTTGTTAAAAGAGAAGACTAACATTAATGATGTGTTTGTGGGAGATGATTTAGTAGGGAATAGAGAAGAAGGGGATTATCAAAGAATTAAAAAAAAAATTGTGTTTGGAGGAAAGAATTTAAGTGAATTTGAGAAGATATTATGGTGAAGCTTATGTGAATTTAATTATACTCTTTTATGGATGAATTTGTGTAAAAATTTTCACAAAAATGCTTGAACAAGACTACCCTACATTATTGTCTAAATGTACATTTGAAAAAAGTTAGTAAAGAGTAAAAATATAATTATCTAAATAATTCATTTTTACATAAAAATTTAACTACATAAAATACAATTTTTAAAATATCAATTTCTCCATACTTCTCACCTAATTTCATTTTACCAAATAACTACAAATTTTATTCCATTTCATATCAAATCAATTATCACATATTTTCTTCCGTTCCCTTCATTTCTTCTCATTTCCAAACAAAGCATAAGTCATCAAATCACTCTAAATCAAGAAAGGAGAGTACAACATACACTTTTAACTTTTCAAAAAAATTGTTATTATTTAGTACTATTTAAATAAATAAAAAATAATAATAATTTGATAATTGATATCAGTTTATTATAAGTAATTATATATATATATATATATATATATATATATATATTTTACTTAAAAAGGTTTCTTGATTTATGATATAATTTATTTAAAATGTGTAATTATAGTTATTATTAAAAAATTAATAATTAAAATTATACCTGATGCATACACAAGTATAATAATTTATTTAAATTCTTATATAGTAATTATATTAAATTTTGATAAATAATTATATATTCTTACTTAAACTCATAAAGTAAATCCATCTCTCTAGAAAACAGTGTTTTCATCTCTAATCTCTCTATTATTTTTCAGAATAGGAAAAGCCAAGACAGCAGTAGCCTTCCCATATATAAGTTTATAATAACAAAGTTATCAAGTTAATGTCACCTTTATTTGTTGGTTGTTTGTGTTATCCAGTATATATATATATATATATATATGTATATATATATATATATATCTCTGTGTGTGTGTGTGTGTGTGTGTGTGTGTGTGTGTGTGCGTGTGTATGTATATACATATATGTGTGTATGTATGTACATACACACATGTGTGTGTATATGTATACATATGCATGATGTAACTTGAAGAACTGAATAACACAAACTTCATATTATATATATATATAATTTACCTCGTGATTGTAGTGTATTAAAATGAAAAAAAATTATTTTTTAATTAGTTATTTATGAATAATTTCAAAATACATTAAAAAAAGAAAAATTATTTATTACGAGCAGTTTCAAAATAAAAATATAAGAAAAAATATTGACGTAGGAACAGGTAGTTATTGAAAGGGGGTATTTTTCATATAAATAATACAGATAATATAGATATTTTATTTTTATAATTGTTTGTAAGACTGATAAAGTTATTTTTTTGACTGTGCTCGTTTTGCTTCTTGTTTTCTTATGTTTCACAAAACATTCTTAGCATTAATTAAATTTTTCACAACTAAATTTAATAAAAAAAAATCATACTCTTTTTGCTCGTAAGAATTATATTAATGACAATAAAGTTTGAAACAGATTTTATACATACTACTTCCACGACCGTATGAACTCTAATAGGTCAATAAAATCTTACTTGAGATAAGAATGTGACAAGAAAAATAAAAAATAAAAAGAAGCTCAAACTCTAACGGATTATCAGCACTTAATTATATTTTAAAGAGTAATTATGATATATAAATGAAAAGTATTATAGGTTAAAATTATATGTTCTTGAGATATTGTGTGATGAGTTATTTGTGTGATTGAAGCATATATGTGTAAGAGTTGTGATTGACATACTGTTAGAAAAGTTACTTGTTTTATGAGTTATCTATGTGTTAAGAGATTAAGTCTAAGCAATGTTTGGTCATTCCAAAAGTTTTTAACACTTTGGAGTAAGCATATATATTTTTTTGGATAAGAAGGGTGTTGTTTTGAAATAATATCAAAACTTCTAAAAGTATTACATCATCGTTCATCGTCACTGTCACTATCTGATTTACTGTCTTTTTCTTCGTTAGTGTCTCCTGAATGCATCTAGCAATCGCATTCAGGACCACACATTCCTGGGTCAACATCCCTATGACTGAGAGCCTTAGAGACTTATGAATCATTTGTCGACATGTAAGAATTTTCTTACTTTTTCGACATTCCTCACCTACTTTTTTCAGCCTCTATCTTATAGTAGACAAATTTATCATAAATCCTAAGGATCGAAAATACTGGATCAATGGTTCATAGCGTTCTGTTGTACAAGATCCTCTTAAAGAGGCGACTACAGAGCATACTTGCTCAAACCTGTACTACTGAGATCATAATACTATAATAGGATCAAGAGTTTTCGAAAGAGAGAAAAAGAGGTTTAGCAATCCATGAGTAATAAACACACAAGTTTATTTTTGAGTTCAACTCCTTCTGATTACAAACTGAGAATGTGCCTCCTTATATAGACTTGGAGGGGTTCTCAAACAACCAACATTTTTTACACATGGGCCAATTCTCATTGGCTGACTAAAAGATGCATACAGAAAAGGACCCTCGTGGGGTGTGACTCACACAAACAGACAAGCTAGTCTGACTAAGACGATAAGAACGAATAAAAAGAGGGACCCACATGGGTCTGATTCACACAAAATACAAACTATCGTACACACTTATCACACAACTTGTGGCCGGCGTAATGCAGATGGAAGACAATATCATTAGTCTCTTTTAATGATGGGCTCGTGACTAAGAGAGAGATTCGGATTTGATGCGTCTGAATCGGAATAGCTGTTTATCATCAATTCAACATAGTAGAGATCTTCGTCGTTTTCTCCTAGATCATTAACTATCTGGAACTGATCGTCAGGGACATAATATTCCGTCCGGCTCATGAAAGCATTGTGTTAAGTCTCAATTTTACCTCTTTTTGGATGAGACTTGATGATTTAATATTCTTTGCGGAGGCTTCCTTGGAGTAGGTAGAGGTAATACACGATTGCTTGAATTCCTTTTGTGCGAGCTTAGGTCAAAAAGTCAGTTTTGATAAGACTCGTGTTTTCTT